CCCCCCCCTTTTTGCTCTCTCTCTCTGTCCCCACCACTCTCTTACTCTCTTGCTCTTTCTCTCTCGGTCTCTCTCTCTTTTTCTCTCTCTCTCGTCCTTCCTTGGTTACAGTCCCTTCGTGTAACTGCCCCTTTAATAAATCTCTCAGTTCAGATGGCGTGGAGTCGTTACTGGGCGCCCCCAAAACTTCTTTCAATAGGAACATGTCAAGGTGCAGGGACATGGTAAGGTCCAGGGACATGTCAAGGTCTAGGATACATCAAGGTCCAGGAACACACTAAGGTCCAGGAACATGCCAAAATCCAGGGAGACACCAAGGTCCAGGAACAAACCAAATCCAAAAATGTGCCAAGATCTGGGGACACATCCAGGTCTACAGAAATGCCAGAGTCCAGAGACATATCAAGGTACAGGGACATGCCAAGGTCCAGGTACACACCAAGTCCAGGATTCGTCAAGGTCCAGGGACACACCAAGGTCTAGGAGCATGCCAAGATCCAGGGACATGTCAAGGTCTATGGAAATGCCAGGGCCCAGGAACATGTCAAGGCAGAGACACACCAAGGTATGGAGACATGCCAAGGTCCAAGGACATGCCAAGGCTCAGGCACACACTAGGGTCCCGGCTGCTGCTCCAGCTTCAGGCGCAGCTCAGTTCAGGCTCCTAGAGGTGCCTGGGCCCCACAGAGGCTCCAGGCAGAGGCTTCTGTCTGCTCGCAAGAGGACGGAAGGGAGGCATGACCCCGGCTGCTGCCTGCTGGGGGTAAGGTCCTCCAGGGCTGCTTGTACAAACGAACCAGAGACGGGGAAAAATAAAAGCACAAGTCCTCTGAGCACTTTGTCTTCCGTCCAGCGATGGTTAAGCCTTGGAGAAGACCATCTTCTAGTAAAACAGGAAGGCTCTGCCCACACTGACCTCAGCATCTACAGCCCCAGGGGTACCCACCACATGCAGCTGGCCGCACATCCTTCCAGACATCATGCACATGCACCACACACGTGTGCCTTTGCAAAAAGGTTTGTGTCCAAGTCTGCCTTTGCCTCACTTCACTGTGTTCCCTTCAACATGAGCGTGAACAGAGCCGCTTCTGCGCACTGCCGGCACTCCGTCTCGTGAGGTCCCCCGATCGATTTGACCGACGACACACCCGTGGGCACTTGCATTGCTCCTGCCCTCCAGCAATGGATAGCATGAGAGGGCATCTCCTTGGGGTGAGCATCTGTGCTTGTATTCGTGACTACTTCTGTGGGACCGACTCTGAGAAGCATGTTGCTAGTTCTGTGAGACAAATTCTTGGACGTGTCATGGCGAGTTGAAAGGTAGACAATTTAACACTTGGTGCGTCGGCTAAAATTCATTTTCAGAAGTCTGTATTTGTTTGCATCTGAATGCCCCAGAACCCTCGCCAACAATGGCTAGTATCATTCTTCATCATTGCCAGTTGGGTAAGTTAAAAGTGTATCATTTTAATTTTTGCTTTCCTCATCATTAATGAAGTTAACTTATATTTCCATATGCTTCGAAATTATTTGCACTTGATTTTTTCAATGATTAACAATGCATATCCTTTGCCTATTGTACTATTGAATGTTGACCTTTTTCTTGTGAATCTGTAAGTTGTTAATGTTAACCCTTTGTCTAGAATAAAAGTGATAAATGTTCCCCCATCCTTTTGTCTTTTAATTATTCAAGACACACCAAATCAATTTATCAAATGAGATGCTTTTTACTTAAATATGTTTATCTTTCTTTTATAACTACCACCTTTTGTATCTTGCCCTAGTTCCAGACCCATTCTCCCATATCTGGGTTTGGAACTTTTCTGTGTCATCTTAACACTTAACGCTTTACCACATGGGAATGTTTGGTGCTTGGAATGAGGCAAAGGTCCCGCCAATGATCCCAATGTGACAATGAATGTTCCCACTGGTAGTCGACACTTAGCTCAGGCCTCTTGACCTCTGTGCAAAGGGTGTCTGTCCAGGGAGACTGGAAAGAGTGCTAGCTTCCCTGGAGCTAAGGTTCCAAGAAGCAAGTCAAGCTCCATTGTTTCCATGCCCTCACAAGAGACAGGAAGGTGGAAGTGAGCTGTCTTCCTGCAGCTCCTGAATGTTGCCATCAGCAAGAGAGTTCAGGCGGCAGGCGACTTTCCGGGCCCCGTGGCAACTCAGTCTACAGGTGGCCTTCTGGCCCTGCGTTCTGGCCTCCATTGCCAGTGTTCTGGGAGTCAAGGCGCAACGGTGAATGGGGCGACGCTTTCACGTACCTCCTAACCTCAGACCACAGCCTGGACACTTCCTGCCCAGCTTCCTGAATGTGAGCGCCAGGGGCACAGGCAGCAGCCCCTCGTGTCTGCCACAGCTTCAATGAGTCTCCGGGACCATTTCAGTGGCTCCCGAGGCCTAGCCTGGAACACGCCCTGTGGCCCTCCAGCAGTGCTGTAAGCATCAACTCCCTGAATTAAGTCACTTTCTACTCAAAACACCCAGAGTGACTTCTATTTCCTGTGCTAAACCCCAGCTGACATGCTCGTTGATTTAAATTATCATGTTTATTATGTATTATTTTATTTACATGTGACTCTCTAGAATGTCCCTTCTATTTCATCAATGTGTCTCTCCTTCCATGACACAATATTATTTAATGAGTCCGCATATCTGGTTGAACAAATTCATCTTATTTTTTTCTTTCAAAGTGAATTTGGTTATTCTGGAATATTCCTCTTTCCAACTGAAATGGAGAATCAGCTTTTTAAAAGTGTCTCAGAATATCTATCTGAATTTTGATTTTGAGGAATTATGCTCATTGGTTAGCTTAAGAATAACTGTCATTTTTATAATATTGACCTTTAATCAGAAATGTGTTCAACCTCTTATTTCTTTACGTCATTATTGAAAGGTTTATAGTTTTCTTTACATAGATCAAACCTTCTTGTTAGAAGTATTACTAACAGTTTTTGTTATCGTGAGACACTTTCTCCGATTATATTTTAAATACATTTAAATATAATATTTTAAGCTATAGTAGCAAGAGCTAACATTTATTAAACACCACCTCGGTACCAGGTATGTTATTTATATCATGCTTTCCATGTAATTCAAACACAAGTGAAAATCTGCGGGTTACAAAATAGTCATCTAATAATGCCTGCAACCAACGGGGGTTTGTTTTCCTTATAATCAAGAAGGCTCAAGGTCAGGAAGTGGCTGCTGCTCTTGGCCATGTCCCCACACAAAATGGGTGCTGTTGGGCCAGCACCACACCCTCGTTTAAGGAAGAAAAGGGAAACAGGTGCACGCACCTGTGACGTCTTATGCCCCTCTGGCCAAATGATGTCAGTCAGCGAGCCAGCCCTGTCCCACGTAAGTCTGTGAACGTGTCTGAACCCTGGAACCCCAAAGTGGGTGAGACTCAAGGGTGAGCTTGAAATCAGGTGTGCTCCCTGCAACCCCAAAGTGGGCAAGACGCGAGGGTGAGCTTGCAAATAGGTGTGGTCCCTGCAATCCCAAAAGTAGGCGAGACTCAAGGGTGAGCTTGGAATAAAGTATGATCCCTGCAAACCTCAAGTGCAACTCGAGGGTGAGCTTAGAATAAGATGTGATCCCTGCAAACCTCAAAGTAGGTGAAAGTTGAGAATGAACTGGGATCAGGTGTGATCCTTACAAACCTCAAAGTAGGTGAGACTCGAGGGTGAACTTGGAACCAGGTGTGATCCCTGAAACTCCAAAGTAGGAGAAACTATAGTGTGAGCCTGGAATCAAGTGTGACTTGAGACTCAAGGAATCAGGTGTGATCTCTGCAAACCTTGAAGCAAGCCAGGACCCAAGGGTTAACTTATAATCAAATGTGATTCCTGCAAACTCCAAAGTAAGAGAGACTCAAGGGGAAGCTTAGAATCAGGTATAATCCCTGCAAACCGCAAAGTAGGTGAGACTGAAGGGTGAGCTTGAAATCCTGTATTCACTGCAAACCCCACAGTGGCCAACACTCGAGAGTGAATTTGGTATCAGGTGTGATCCCTGCAACCCTCAAAGTGAGTGAGACTCTAGGATGAGCTTGCAATCAGTTGTGATCCCTGAAAAGCCGAAGTGGGTAAGAGTTGAGGGTGAGTTTGGGATCACGTGTGATCTCTGCAAACCCCAAAGTAGGTAAGACTTGATATGAGCTTGGAATCAGATGTAATTCCTGAAAATTCCAAAATGGCTGAGACTCAACTGTGAGCTTAGATCAGGTGTGATCTCTACAAACTCCAATGTGGGTAAGACTGGAGGATGAGCTCGGAATCAGGTGTGACCCCTGCAAACCCCAAAGTAGGTGAGACTTGAAGAGGAACTCAGAACAAGGTGTGATCTCTGAAAACCTCAAAGTAGGCAAGACTAGAGGAGGGTGAGCTTGGAATCAGGTGTTGGGTGAGTTCAAAGCTGACATTCCCTGGGGTCATGAGACCAGCGGGCTCTGGTGAGGTCCCAGCCTCTGCGCTTGTCTGAGCTCCCTGGCAATGGAAGGCATCTACAGGCTCCGTTTGTCGGACTTGGTGCCACAGGGAAACCATGACAGAGTTGCCACAGCCCAGGAGGCCCCGAGTGGGTTGGTGGTGGCAGAAGAGGCAGTGGGGACCTGGGATGGCTGAGGCCAAGGGACCCAGGAAGGAAAAACATTGGGATCATGCAGGGGTCATTTTATAAAGGGGCGTGGACATCCTCACCAAAACCTGTATGTGGGAAAACATGCTTTCAAATATTGCCGTTTTGTCCAGGTACATTACTGAATTCTGCTATTATTTTTATAGACTTTAGATTTTTTAACATATTTTTGGTAAAGGAAATTTTATCATCCCGTGTTACTGATCATTCCTTTTTTCCCCATTGCATTGCCTTGGCTGGGATCTTTAGTGATGTTGATAATAACTGGTTTCCTGTTATTTTCTTATTTAAAGAGAAGGCCTTATTGTTTCACTGTTAAATGATTAAATGTGTACTGAAAAAGAAGACACTTCAAATACTCAGTAGTAAAATAGATATTTTCCAGTAACAAGAGAGTCTTCTAGTCTCCACCTCAAAGGTTTTCCTTTTATCACATCAAAACACCTACACTTCTGACCACCATCCAGCAAAGTTAACAGGGACATGGATGATACCCAAGCAAGAGTCCTGGAAGGGTCTCCCTGGTACTTTCATAGTTTGTATTTTGCGAACCTCACATTTCTCTTGAGTTCTGCCTACGCACAGCAGAATTAAGACCCGGCAGGAAACTGAACATCATATGGAATATGCTAACACGTGAGAAGTGTTACTGTATTATTGTTCATAATACCATGAATACAAGAAAAGTGGACCACGGCATCTCGGCAAGACCAAGCGCCATCTTTCTCTTGCAGCCTCAGGAAGGAATACATTAACCGGAAACCCATTTCTGAGAATACTGCTGAGTTGAGCATCTTCGCCAGCTCCTGCGTGGCTTTCTTGGAAGACAAAAGCCTAGGGTGAGGGAGAAAGAAGAGAGAAATGGGGGAAGCCCATTAGGACAAGGTGACACGCAGCCAGGCTGGCGACAGCGTCTGAGACAGCAAACTTGCTGTTCAACAGTGAAACACACATTAACACTGCGGGAAGGACACAAGTGTCTCCTGGTTCGGCCCTACCCCCATCATCACACTCAGAATTCGCTGTGCGGTGCGCCAGCCCCTCTGCTCTGTGGGGTCATGAGACCAGCGGGCTCTGGTGATGTCCCAGCCTCTGCGCTTGTCTGAGCTCCCTGGCAATGGAAGGCATCTACAGGCTCCGTTTGTCGGACTTGGTGCCACAGGGAAACCATAACAGAGTTGCCACAGCCCAGGAGGCCCCGAGTGGGTTGGTGGTGGCAGAAGAGGCAGTGGGGACCTGGGATGGCTGAGGCCAAGGGACCCAGGAAGGAAAAACATTGGGATCATGCAGGGGTCATTTTATAAAGGGGCGTGGCCATGTCCAGCATGGGCAGCAAGTCTTGCACTGGGAACCACCAGGCAGCCTGAAGCAGAGGGGATGAGACCTCCAGGCTGTACTCCCCAAGCAGGGGCACTCTTTGGAGGCTGAAGTCTCAGCAGCCTCTGCAGAGGCTGGCTGTCTCCAGTGGGGTGTCAAGTCTAGTTGATGACAGTGTTTCCCTGATGCAGACTGATTGTGTATTGGGTTAATAATAACAGTAAACACCGGCCAACATCAGAAATCAGGCACTTCCTGACCGCCTAATAGACACTTACGCATTTTATCCTCAAAACAGCACGCTGAGACCCACGGTATCATTATTCATGGCTCCCAAAAGGGAAAACTGAGGCAGAGAGCACCTGGGGAAGTCAACTTACTTACTGCCGCAGAGCTCAGAGCTCATCGGTGGTGAAGCTGGGACACGGCCTTTGGGCCTGTGTTTCCACACTGGCTCTCCGGCCTGCTGCCCCACTGACCACCTGGGAGCCTGCTTTTCTGGCATCCCGACAGCACACAGACTGGCAAACCCTCCACAGATGCACGCCCGCTGCCTGACCACACTGTCACGGCCCAGCCTGCAAGTGGGACAGCTGAAAACTCAGAGGCCAGAGGTACAGTCGAGCCCCCAATTTCCAGACTCCTCCACGCACTGACCAAACTGACCACTGCCCTCTCCACGTCCTGCTGCACAAGCTCACAGAAGCCAGCTCCCGTCCCATCCTGGCGGCGTGGTCCAGCCACCCCTGCAGGAGACAGCTCCACCCCAGCCTGGGAGCATGGTCCAGCCATGTAGTTCCTCTGTGCGGGGTGCCATGAGGCGACAGGAAGGCCGCGGACGGCCACACTGCAGTCTTGAAGTGTCAAGGTAAAGTGCAGGGTCCCTATCTGCACCACGTCTTCTGGCTCTTGGTCGGATGAGGGAGTGGACGTTCTGGGAGGTGAAGTGGTCCCCCATGTGAGTGGGCACAGAACACACTGGAGTCCTGGCTTCCAAGTTGCAGCACGGCTCCTTCCAGTAAACCAACCAGTGCGTGGATTCGCAGCAGCATTTAGATAAGCTTTACTCACTGACCTGAACTAGATTGCAAAGCTGACGTGTCATCCATTATTCTTAGTAAGATGATCTGTGTTGGAACGTGTTTCACAATTCTGTATTTCACATGCTGGTAGCCCCGCGAGCTGTGCCCTGGCTGTAAGCCGCCACTGCCACCTTGCTCTGTTGCCGGGATTTTGCAATTTGCACAGGGAGCCACTTCCAGAGTCTTGACCACTTGCAGTGCGTGCTCTTGCCTCCCACCCTCCTTTGTTCTGGCACCCTTGCCCACACACACACCGTTTACTCTGAGTGAATAAAGGTGTTTCCTGCAATGTGTGCTGCCTAAGGCAGCTGAACTTAAAGGCACGTCGTCGCATCTCTGTAACTGCACTTGCAGCATCCTCTTCTTTGCAAAACCCACTTTCTGTCCTTTCCTCGACCTTTTGGAAATGCTCTGAAATGTGTTTAGACCTTCAGCTGCTCTTGCCGGGGAGACCGTGTCACGGGCGCAGAGAGCTGATGTCTTGATTATTAGCCTGAGCAAGAGTCATTTCATAGGAAACACTCCAGCTTCCCATACTCTAAAGCCATCGCTTCTCTGGGGAGTGTTATTTGACCGTCTTCTATTGCCCAATTTCCCACAAAAACCAGTTTTTGAAGAACAAGGTCAAGCACACTGGTGGAACTCTGGCTAAGGGAACCATGTGGCAGAAGCTGGGCCCGAGGAGCAGAGGCTGGAAAAAAGCAGATCTCACAATGCACAGGGGGCAAGAAAGGGGAGGCAAGAGGGTGCCGGGAAGAATAAAGGTGTTCCAAGGGGCAACGAGGACTTGACAACAGGAAAAAGGCCAAGGAAAAAAAATCAAGAAAAAAATCAAGGCCAGACACGGTGGCTCACACCTGTAATCCTAGCACTTTGGGAGACTGAGGCAGGACTGCTTGAGGTCAGGAGTTGGAGACCAGCCTGGGCAACACAGTGAGACTCCATTTCTACAAAAAAAAAAAAAAAAAAAAGAAAGTTAAAGTGAGCTGGATGTGGTGGTTCATTCCTGTAGTCCCAGCTACTTGGGAGGCTGAGGCGGGAGGATCACTTGAGCCCAGGATGTCAAGGCTGCGGTGGCCTACTGTCAGGCCACTGTACTCCAGCCTGGGTGACACAGCAAGACCCTATCACAAAAAAAGGAAAGAAAGAAAAAAAAAGAGAATTAATTCAGTAAATCAAGAAAAAGAACTATAAAAGAGTAAGGGTCATCAACGGTAGAATCATAAAAAGAAAAAGCAGAAAGGGGAGGAAGCAGAGAAACGATGAGAAAGGGCATGGAGAGGAGAAATGAAAGTGCCCAGCTGCCAAAAAAGTGCCGTTCCAGGAAGCGTCTGCCCTGCCCAAACAGCCCGCCCGTGACTCACTCAGGTAGAGCCCAAACCAGCACCCACACACACTGAGAAGCCGGGACAAGGCCTGGCTGCTGCCACACGGGCTCACGTTTCAGAGCCTCCACTTGAACGTCAAGCCAGACTCTTGCTTCGGGCTCCTAAAAGCAGAACTTCTGTTCCTAAAGTCTAACAGAGGGACACGAGGCAGGGGAGGAGCAGGGCCCCACCCCTGAGAGCCCTGGGAGCTGCAGCACTGAGCAGGCCTGGGCCGGTGAGGGCCGAGGCCGCCAAAATCTGTCTAGGAAGAACCCAGAAGCCCAGGCACCCGGCAGAGGGGGAGCTGCCGGGCTCCAGTGCCCCATATGTGTCCGGCCGGGGAAGTCCTGGAGTCTTACTTTTAAATGAGTTGCTTGCCAACACTGAAAATCAGCATATTTTACCGAAAATTAAAACCAAAATATCCACTTTCTTTTGAAAAACCGGAGCCTCAGGCCCATGGAGCTGAGGAGCATTGCCTCCTGGGACAGCCAGCTTCTTGAGAGTCCATCACACACCTGCCTCCTGTGGTTTGGAATAAACATCTGGAGATGCAGGCGGCATCCTGGGGCTCTTCCAGCTCAAAAACGTCTAGGCTGCAGGGCCCTTCCCGCCTTTAGTAAGGAGAGGCCGCTGCTTTAGTCTTCCTGTCCTTAGGTTATAGCTCTTTAGCTCGGCTTAATCAGAAAGCATGTTGGCAATGTGAGGCACCAAAGTCAAAAGTTTTGAGCTGGGCAGTGCGCTGGGTGCGGTGGCAGTCCCAGCACTCTGGAAGGTCAAGGTTGGAAGACTGCTAGAGGCCTGGACTTAGAGACCAGCCTGGGCAACACAGCAAGATCCCGTCTCTAAACAACCATAACAATAATTTGTTTAGAAGAATGCCGCGGATTGTCTTCTGCTAGTAATCCTCCCTGTCCCACCCCACCCCCAGCACTGAGAGGGACAGCTCACGGAGTGCAAGAAAGTTTTAACTTGTCCTTCAACCAGAGCCCCTCCCCCTCCTCCTGAGACCCCCAGCTCCGCTCCACAGCAGACACACGCTGAGGGCGCAGCGGAAGCCTTCCCACCCAGCCTCATGCGTCTCAAGTATCTTAGGTTTTATGCTCCATTGACTCGGATTACTCTGCAAATCCTTGCCTACTCTCTGAGTGTCCGGGGTGTGACAGCAAACGGTCGCTGCTCCGGTCCTGGGGACAGACCCATCATCTGGTTGCTTGGCGGTTTCCTAATCACCAGGAGGAGCTCAAGAGTTATTTTCTAGCCGAGCCTCAGCTACCTCTTACCGTCCTCTGATTTCCAACCTAGATACTCATCAGAAACGATGCGCAAATGTATCACAAGCACGATCTAAAGCCTCCAGGTGACCCCAGGAGCAGCAGGTTTCCAAGTTCAGAACCAGAACAGTGTCCAGACTCAAAGAAGGCTTCCACCATCACCAGTGGGGCGGCTCCACGCACGCTAGCTACCTCTCCGGAAGGTCAAGTTCCCTTTATACGAAGACGTTCAACCTCCCTTCTTCAACGGCTTTGGAATCCCACGAAATCGCTCAAAAGGCAGAACAACGTGGAGACCACGTCGTGGGGGGACGGGGGAGGCGGCAGGGCAGCTCCGGAGTTCCGCCGGGCTCCCAGGCCCCACGGACGGGCGATACCTGTTTCTCGCCGCGGCC